TAAGACTGACAGCCACCTTCAAACTCCCATGTACTTCTTTTTAGGGAACCTATCACTGCTGGATATAGGATATACCTCTTCCACTGTTCCCAAACTGCTATCCATCTTGTTGACAAATGTGCACACCATTAGCTTTGCTGGGTGCTTGTTGCAGTCCTACTGCTTCTTCTTCCTTGGGTCAGCTGAATGCTTCCTCCTTGCAATTATGGCTTATGACCGGTATGTTGCCATATGCTACCCTCTCAGATATTCCACAATCATGAATAAAAGAGTGTGTGTGCTTCTAGTGATTGGTTGCTGGGCAGGGGGCTGCCTGTCCCCTTTAGTGGCTGCCATTGTGGTGATTAACTTACCATTTTGTGGGCCCAATGTAATAAACCATTTCTTTTGTGACATTCCCCCACTATTAAGTCTGGCTTGCATAGACACATCTATTACTCAGAAGACTGTGTTTCTACTCTCTGCTATGGTGATTCTGAGCACATTCCTGTCCACAGTGGTCTCCTACATCTACATTACTGTAACCATATTGAAAATACCATCCTCTCATGGACGTCACAAAGCTTTCTCCACCTGCGCTTCTCATCTGACTGTTGTCTCTCTGTACTATGGGACAGTGATTTTCATGTATGTAAGTCCAACCACCCGTTCTTCCTTTAACATGAACAAAATCATAGCTGTGGTGTACAGTGTTGTCACACCAATGCTCAACCCAATGATCTACACTTTAAGGAACCAGGATATGAAAACAGCCTTGAAAAAAATAATTCTGAAAATGAATTTTAATAGAAAAGAACTTGAGTTGTCAAAGGAATTCCATTTGTGATAACATTCAGCATCAGACTTTTGAAATATGTATCATTCAGCCAGTGTTCTTGGTAGACTAGGAATTCCTCCACAATGGAATCACTGTCAGTGAGAACAGTAACATTTGATGAGCTTCCCTGAAGACAACAAATCTACTACAACTGACTTTCTTTGGCCCTGTTCATATGAGGCGTTTTGGGCCGGGAGTGGGCCGGATTGGAAGCACAGCAAACGGGCGCGATCCCACGTCAACATCTGGCTGGCATTGTGCTCCCGTCTCCGATCCAGCCCTTCCTCCGATGAAGCGCTTCAAAACTGAACCACCTACCTAGGTGGTTCATCCGTTTGGTCCATATCATCGCTGGCCGTGGGATCGGCGGTGCGTCTTGCCACCGGCGCATCCCCGGCCCCCAGCCGAACTGCGCATGTGTGAGCATGCGCAGTTTGGCAGCCTCCCCCTCCCGAGCGTCCCTACCTCCCCGGCATCTGATCGTGCCGGGGAGCAACGGCGCGCGGTGCATGGTATCTGTGGGATCCCGCCCGCACGTCTCTTTTTTGGTGCGGCTCTATTTGCCGGGTGTTTTCCCTGCCGTTTGGCAGGGGCCTTTGTAACACAAAGCTGCAGGTGGATGTAAGATATGTCCTAGTGAGAATGGCCAGTAGTTTACCACTCTGCTAAGCAAAGTCTGATGCCTTCCTCCATCCTAAGGAGACTCATTCCAGTTTAAAGGACGCTTCTTCCAATATGAGATCTGCTTAAGCTGAAGAAAATATTCATGGGCTGGAGGACGTTATTCTAACTTAAAGAAGAATACCACCAGTCTTAATTCTTAGTAATGATAAGGCTTGCCCTGACCTGGATAGCCCAGGTGAGCCTGATTTCAGCAGCTTTGGGAAGTTAAGCTGGGACAGCCCTGATTGGTACTTGGATGAGAGACCACCAAGGATGTCCAGGGTTGTTGTGCAGAGGCAGGAAATGGCAAACCACCTCTAAGTGTATCTTGTCTGGAAACTACATGGGGTCAACGTGCGTTTGCTGTGACTTGATGGAAAATAAAAAGATGAGGCTCAGGAGGCTCACAGTTGACCCCCAACAAATGAATCCTCTACAATGTGGCGACCTCATGGAAGATGTTCAGGATTTACTTGGCAGACAGGAAGGAAGGAAGGAAGGAAGGAAGGAAGGAAGGAAGAGACAGCTCTGTTAAAACATGGGTGACAATATCAGGTACAGGTGCCTAGGGTTGCCAACACTGTTGGGAGATTCCTGGAGATTTGGGGGTAGAGGCTGGGGCTGATGGGGTTTAGGAAGGGGATGGACCTCAGCAGAGTATAAGGCCATAGAGTCCACCACCAAAGCAGCTGTTTTCTCCAGGGGAACTGATCACTGTTGTCTGGAATCAATTGTAATTCTAGAAGATCTCCAGGCCTTACCTGGATGTTGAAACTCTACAAGAATAGAATGAGTGATGTGACTTTGAGGCAGTCTTTGACAGAAGTGTAGAAAGGTGGGGGGGTTAGTATTAGGTCTGTTGTTGAATCCTTTCCTGCCTCTTAGCTCAATAGACTACAGGTGAAGGTATGCAGGGCTGGTTAAGTATTGTAAGGGGCTGACTCACAACTGTTGTCCAGATTCTTTGAAACTATCTCCCCTGTGAAAGATATGTTCAGGAGCTTTGCCCTGACTAATAGTATCTATGATATCAATGAATCATCAGGAATGGATTCTATTTTGAATGATTGCCCTTGGTTTGTGCTAATACTTATAATCAATTCATTTGAATGCTTGCAGTCTTCTATGTTTACATCTGTGTTTTGTGGACAATAAATATGACCAAGTATATTATAAAGACCTTTCTTTCTTTCTTTTTGTCTTTTTGTAATTTGTGTGGTAGATGCAAAATCTACATAGAAAAGTTTCTCTTAGATTTTGGTTAGGCCATTAAGGTTACTTTGGTTTTCTTTGTCGTTTTTAAGGTAGATTTTTAATGTTTTTGTAGATTAAAAAATGGTCAAACAACCAAGTTGTTACACCAAAGTGAACATTTTGAAAACAAGCCAGCATTTGCAATATAACACTAAGTGTTAGAGCTGTCACAATCTCAAGCCACTGCTTTAAAAGGGTAGAGTGTTGGGGGGAAAATAACCTCAATTTCTACATTCATGAACAAGTTTATAAAAAGGTAAAGGTAAAGGTTCCCTTGCTTGAAAGCCAGTCGAGTCTGACTCTAGAGTTGCAGTGCTCATCTCCATTTCAAAGCCGAAGAGCCAGCGCTGTCCGAAGACGTTTCCGTGGTCGTGTGGTCGGCATGACTAAGCACCAATGCTATTAGCATTGCTATTATCCTCAACAGTTGAAATTATAAGAGTCTAGTAACACACTTTAAAAAAAATGAAATACAGCACAATGTAGTAATAACTCAATATTTTATTATGTACATTTATTACGTATCACTGTAGTATGGAAAACTGGGAGGGCAGGCAGCATGATGTAGCCTGATCTTGTCAGATATCAGAAGTTAAGCAAGGCCGGTATGTGAAAGTGAGACCCCCAAAGAAGACTCCATAGAGGAAGTCAATGGTATACCACCTCTGCTTCTCACCTGCCTTGAAAGCCCTGGGGTGGGGCTGCTGTGAGTTGGCTGTGACATGATGGCCTTTTACATGCACACACATGCAGACACAGAATGGAAGACCCAGTTAAATCCAGCTTAAATACCCCCCAAGCTCCCATCATATATTAGTGAGGAGACTGAATCTTTAAAGATAGAACTTGCCAGAAAATAAAACTAGGAATCTCAGGCTGTGGTCACACACGCTAAATAATCCACTTTCAATCCATTTTCAATGCACTTTCCGACTGGATTTTGCCAGTTTAAATAGTAAAAATTTAGCATGTGTGACTGCAGCCTCAGCCATGGCTACCTGCTTCAGGATGACGATGGGACTTGCAGTCTTTTTTTTTTTTTTTTTTTAAGGCAGAATGGAACATCCTGCCCCAAGTAACCTTGAGACTCCCATCCCCAAGCTATTTGTTATGGAAGCTTGGGTTCTTCATTTGTGACAGCCATAACTCATTATCAAATTAAGGTGGGAGTCCCATAATTGGCCACCAACTTTAGAATGATGGTGGGACATGCAGTGCCAAAAATGAAGGGAACTGGAACCTCCTAGCACAGTTTAGCTCTCAGACACCTCTCTGTTATTTGCAATGGAAGCAAAGGTTTACTCATGAGAAGTCAGAATGGCAGGCAGCACAGACAGGGAAGGTGAAGGCAGCACAAGACATGAAGGGTGGAAAATAACTCTTCCTTTTCAAAAGAGAGAGGTTGAATCTGCATTTGCATTTTTAAATCAGTTTCATACTGCTGCGACATCGTCTTTCTCTATGCTTGTTTGAAAGTTGTTTGGAGAAGATTCTTTTAAAGCACTGTGGAGGCACAATGATAGTGGAGCCGCCACGGGAGGGTGATAAACATATGCAGACATGCAAAAGTATGCTAGCACTGTTGAGGTATGAAAACGAAACCAAATGTAGACAGCTTTTTTGAAGATGGAGTCAGAAAGCTGGGACACCGGTGGGAACGACAAATGCAGATTCGGCCAGAGTGTTTAAGAATATCCCTGAAGCTATCAGTCAGTGTAGTGTGTAATTAGAACCCCTAAATAGGATTAAGGAGATTCAGGTTGGCATCTGAAAGTTGCTGGTTGACCTTTGTGCCATTCACACACTTTCAGCCACTCCTACCTCATAAGTCGGTTGTCAGGATAAAACTGAGGAGAGGAAAACAAGTGAGCCGCTTTTGGTCCCCATTGGAAAGAAAGGTGGGGTAGGACATTTATGATAAATCTAATTTTGGCTACAGTTTCAAAAAAAAAAGTAGTGAACATAAGTGAGCAGAATCAAGGGAAAAGGAAACATGATTAAGTATTCAAAGTATTAATTATTGTGAGCGCAGCAAGCTATGGCATTGGTGAGCAGAGCAAAACAAGCATACTTGTAATGGTTCATGTGTGACACCCAGCATTCAGTGTTGGCTCAACACCTTCACTGTTTTTGTTTGCAGCTATTAAGTGATAAGCACATTTTCTTAATACTGGACCCAAGGTGGGTAACAGCAATGAAATAAGCACAATACAACTTAACACTAAGAAAACAGAATTAGCACAGCCAGCACGATCACAAAACAAAATTATTTTTGGTATGCAAATATTCTCCTGCCCAGTGTTCGCTTCAATGCACCTTTTACCTCCTTGTTTCTCAAGCTGTAGATGATGGGATTTAACATGGGGGTGATGACAGTGTAGGAGAGAGAGAGGATCTTCTTTGTGTCCGGAGTGTAGGTAGATTTGGGTCTGAAGTAGGTCGATGTGGCTGTGCCATAGAACAGAGTCACCACCACAAGGTGAGATGAACACGTTGAGAAGGCTTTGTGCCTGCCCTCTGCTGATGGCATTCTCAGAATGGTAGTGATGATGCGGACATAAGTGAGCAGAATCAAGAGGAAAGGAAACATGATGAAGAGCACTGTGGCTGTGAGAGCTTCAATTTCAAACATGTGGGTATCAGCGCAGGCCAGTTCTAGTACTGGAGGACTGTCACAAAAAAAGTGATTGACTATGTTGGGTCCACAAAATGGCAAGCTGAATATCCATGTGGTCTGGACAGTAGACACGGGGAAACCTGAGAACCATGAAGCACCAGCCAGTTGGAAGCAAGCTCTTCGGTTCATGATGTCGGGATAGCGTAACGGGTTGCAGATGGCAACGTAACGGTCATACGCCATCGCAGCCAGAAGGCAGCACTCAGCGGCACCAAAGAAGAAGAAGAAATACATTTGTGCAGCACAACCAGAATAGGAGATGGTCTTGTTCTCTCTGAGGAAGTCCACCAACATCTTGGGGACAATGACCAAATTGAAGCAGATTTCCAAGGAAGACAGGTTCCGGAGGAAGAAGTACATGGGGCTCTGAAGGGCAGAGTCCAATGTTGTGATGAGAATGATGAGGACATTTCCAGTCAGAGTTACGGTGTACACCAGAAGGAAGATGAGGAAAAGGGGAGCTTGGAGTTCAGGATGATTAGAAAACCCCACAAGAATGAATTCTGTGACACTGGTCTGATTCTCTTCAATTTTTTCTGTCTGTCTCATACTGTCTGGAGGGATGATAAATGGTTTATTGTGCTGGCAATTTTCCAAAATGTGGCAGCATACCTCTACCTTTCATTATCTATTCACCTTCCACATTTCTGTTAATGCATGTTACAGTAACCAACCAAGAATAATTTCAGAGATGGACAATATGGAGAGGTGGGATCTATTTATCTTTTTCTCATTACTTTTCTCCTTCTCTTCTACCACAATGTGATAGTAATCCCTTGCACCCATACTTCACATAAACAAAAAAAAAATAAGCATATTGGAGGGTTGGATGGAGATCTATTCACTCCCTTGCGAAGAACATTTTTAATGAAAGGTATTATCTTTTTATGGTAAGTGCAGGAAAATCCATTAAAAACATAATGCTTCTACGCTATGTTGCTTCACTAACAGCATCTTAAATGGATACATGAAATGTGAGTCAATACAGGATCTATATAACATAAATGTTCCACTTCTAAATTTATCTTCTTCATATCGCAATAGACATTCAGCACTATCTGCTTTGGCAGCACATGGCTGTTGTCATCAGTCTGTATTTATGGGGATAAAGTATCCAGCTGGATAGAAAAGAAGACTGAAATGCCAGTCCTATAAACAACTAGAGAGCAATTGAGCCAGCAACGTGAGATAGAGAGCAATTACCAGCCAATTTGAAAAAAGAAGGCTTTTAGCCAGATAGAAAAGAGGAACGGTTGCTACTACTAGAAATTAATTAACTGGCTTGCTCCTAATTCAAACACTTGAAAGGGAACTAGAAGATAATTTGAAGAAATTAAAAAAGAAATTAAGCTGCAATAATTTGAAGAAAGTAAAAAAGAAGTTAAGCTGTATCAAGAGGCTGACACCTTCCAACATAATAGGATTACTCCTGAGGAAGACTGGTGAAATGAGTTTATAACTGAGTGCTCATTGAGGATGTTGGACTTTTCCTTGAGAATGTTAGAATTTCCTTAGTAATAATGTACAAATTGATGTTCATAGGATTTATTAAATGCCAATGTCATTTTTATCACAGTGTTTTTTTATTTGATAAAGTATGCTGAACAGAATGTTTACCGGTGTGCAGTTGTTAGCTGTTTGTTACCAGTTAACTTAAAATTGATAAACACATGTAGGAGCAAATTAATAATTTCTTTTCAGTTAAGGTTTTTTCCTTCTTCATAATTTTTTTATTTATCAAAAAAGGAAATCACTGTATTTCATCAGCTCTTTATGCTGTATAGTGCATTTTTTTCACTTGCCCTCTGCAGAAGTACAATACTCCTTGTTAAATGCTAATTAAAAACACAGCTGCCGAGGTAGTATCATCCATTCTTGGCCTGGGCCTACTAAAATGTCCATGGATGAAAGGGAGGTGATTTTTACCCATTCCCTTTCCCACCGTAGACATCCATCTTCCCCCTGTCCTCCAGGAATAGGATTTGCAGAACATTTTGGGCTACAACACAAAGAGGAAAAATGGAACAGTTGAACTCCACTGGCAGATATCCTTTCCGGCAGAGGAAATTTTCAGTGGGTCTAAACTTGCAGGGGCATTTTTCTCCAAATACAATTGGTTGATGTATTAAAATTATTGTCTAGGGTTCAGCAATACTTTTGTAATAATGCCATTACATCCCCATGCAAAATGTGAACACACATGTCCAGAAACCAATCTTCATCCTTCCAGCAATACTTTTCCTGCCTGCCAATATATTATCACATAACAAGAACAGCAACAACAAAAAGGAACCTTTAAAAAATAAACATTGTCTGTACTGCTGAATCTGTCTTCACGATAAGGTGCATACAGGGGAGTGAAAATGAGCCATCATGCCTCCTACATGCATTTGCCCAACTGTGGAGAGCTTGTTAATGTCAGCTGTATGACCAGGAACACAATAGGGGATGGGGGGAAAGTGCCTGCTTGCAAGCAGGGGAGGACCATTATACTTGTTCCCACTCCCACCAATCCTGAGCAAAGACATCTTGGACATCCAAACACAGAATATTCAGCTGGAGAGACTACTCAGACCCAGCACAGAAATATTCAGCTGGAGAGACTACTCAGACCCAGCACAGAAATGTCTGTGTGTGCCTCAGTGGAATTGTTTTCTCCTTCAAATGGACCTTCTTGAAAGATCTTGCAATATGCAGGCAATGGTCTGGGGCTTTAATTAGAAGAAAGGCTCTTAAACATATATGTTGGATTATGCCTAACAAAGTTTCCCATGGTTGATGGCCAGCTTCAGCTTGCAGAGAGCCATAACCTGAGCCATAAGTAAAACCTGGATTAGAACTCCTCCAGATGCTAGTGTACCAGATCTACTAGAAAATATGGTGTGGATTTCTAAATATTGCCCACTTGCCATTTCCATGGCAACATTTTTCTTTGCTATCCTGCATGCCATAATTCTCACACTTCATCTGTTTAAGGATTCTTTGGAGGGTCAGGTGTTTTAGACTTACTGGTGACAGGTTTTAAGCATTCCCCCTAGCTATAAATTGAACTCAAATGTGTGGTTAAATGGTTAAGGTAAAGGTTCCCTTGCTCGAAAGCCAGTCGAGTCCGAGTCTAGGGTAGCGGTGCTCATCTCCATTTCAAAGCCGAAGAGCCAGCGCTGTCCGAAGACGTCATGTGGCCGGCATGACTAAACACCAAGGCGCATGGAATGCTGTTACCTTCCCACTGAAGTGGTACCTATTTATCTACTTGCAATTTCTTGCTTTCGAACTGCTAGGTTGGCAGTAGCTGGAACTAGAGACGGGAGCTCACTCTGTCATGCGGCAACACGGGTCTTGAACTGCTGAACTACTGACCTTCCACAGCCTGCAGTTCAGTGTCTTAACACTTGAGCCACTGCAGCTCCAGTTAAATGGTTACTATGCGCAAAAAATATAAGAGAAACTTCATGTTGTGGGGGTGCTGTGCTTTTGAACATCTTCTCCCAGAGATCAAACCATATGATATGGAGGCAAAACATGAGTTGTTTGCTGATTTTTTTTTAACTGAAAAGAGTGTATGTTTATTATTTTCCTTTCCTGTCATTTCCCCAATGCATTTCACCCCAGTTCCTCCACCACCTATAGGGTAAAAAATATGGGGATGAATCCAAACAACCTCTATGGCAATGAGAAAGATGAGAGGATGTCCCCTTTGATCACTGGAAAAGGCAATGCTAGGGACTATGGGAACTGCATGAACAAAAATCATGTGGGATTGAGGATGCAGAAATGAACAGAATTTGGTGAAATAGAGTGAAAAAGGTGTCTCAGACCCTACTGTTCTTTCTCTATGGATTTTTTAAAAAAATAGGTATGCCATTTTTGAGTGGAGAAACAGTGGCAGGAGAAGGAGTTAACACAATGATCAATTTGCCATTCCACTGCTGAGATTATCTTTCAGTTTTAAATAAAATGATATGGGGTGTTTATTAGACCTTAATTCATTATATTCTTAGTGCTTCTGGTTTTAGATGGCTTCTAGGTAATATGCATGTGCATGTGTGAATTCATTTCCCCTCCCAATATGGAGTATCTCCCCAGACAGCATAAATATGTCAAAAAATCTCTGTATAACTCTTCACCTTCTTGATCTACAAATCCATTTCAGCCTTCCTACTGACAGCTGTTTGTCATTCTCATTAGCTCTTTCCTTTTTCCTATGTAGCCTGCTTTGCACAATCTCACTTGTGATAAATCCACATTACTGTAGGTGCTTTTGCACCCTTCTTTTTTTATCCTTCTTCTAGATGACCCAAGTATTTAGCAACACCTCTCCCAGACTCACTTTGCTACCACTTCTACAGTCATGTGGCTTTTCTTAGCTTCCAATGCTACACATGCACCAGAATGCATTAGAATGCTGAGGGTGGATACCAGGACAGATAGTTACACAGCTGCCGAGGTATTATCATCCATTCTTCCTTCCCCTAGAACTGTACCAGATTCTTATCTAATTCTGCTGCAGGCACTGACTAGAGCTTACTCATTTGCCCATCTTTGATCTTTTCCTCCATTCTTTGTCATACGCACTAGTATAGATTTTGAGCCCTCCAGAGGGAGCCCACACTTCAGTCCATATACCATGCTACAGAATGAACATTAGGCTACAGCCATATTTTCCTCTCAATCTTACCCAATACCATTCCTTACTAGAGCTCCTGTTGAACTTGCTGCAGCCAGAAGAAACAGGAGGATGACCCGGGAAGTGTTAAATGGTTGGCAGTCATCTGTTTCATTTTCCCCTGCTTTGAAGTGGGTGCACCCATTCACTGTTAGGCTGAAATTGCTGGCAGTCATTTCCACCGTCCATTTTGTTTTCCCTCGCTTCAAAGGTGGGGGAAGCAAAACCGACTAGTGAAATGGCTCGCAGCCATTTAAACCTAACAGGTGAGCTGCAGACCTGTGTCACTCAGCTATTAGGTTTAAATAGCCTGAGCAGCCAAACTGAACTGGACAAAAGTCTGGTAAATGTTCAGGGAAGGTGCTTACTCCAAACATCAGTGTGGATGCTCCAAACCGGGCTAAGTACGAGCCAAATTTTGGCTCGTAAACCAGTTCATGCCCATCCCTAATCAGGATTTGATGCAATGACATAGCCTCTCTGTAAACCGAATCTATTCCATTTCACCCTCCAGGCTAAATGGCAGGGTTTGGGCAAAGAAAGATGAATAAATGATTCACCTACCTCTGAAGGCATAGAAGAGCCACTTTGATGGGGAAAGATTTTGCATTGATGACTCAGTTTCATTATATCATTTGCCTTTAGTCACTTTGGGGATTTGATTGTCCTCATTCACTACCTCCCTGGAGCCATTAACAATAATTGTGAAATAGCTTGTTAAGCTATTATTTACCTTTCAGAAAGAATAGAATCAATAATTACATGCACAGTTTTAAGATCCTGAGATTCAGTGTAAAACTAAAAACAGCCTCCTGGGAGTATGCACCATTGACAAACATTGGGCTTACTTCTGAGTAGACTTGTTTAGGGTTGCTCCTTACTTTAGGATATTGGTACAGTGAGGCTATTTCTCCTGTTCTGGTCCCCTGGCCATAAGAGAGGATTGATGATACTGTATCATGAAGTAAAATGGATTCTTCAAGATGATGCTTCTATAAAGGGCTGTAACTTATTGTACTGTTTACTGTATATATTATCTTCACTGTCATGTATCTAATTTCTATAGTATAGGGGGGATGCATCATTTGTCCTGTCTTATACTATCTGATTGCATTTAAAAATTGCAAATTGCATTGAGTCTCTGCAAGAAAGGTGGAAAATGAATAAATAATCTATGTCTAGAGTTATTTACTACTTATTTATTAAAAGTGTTCTCATCCAACATTTCTACCTCTTTGGTACCCAGTTCTCTAAATTTTGAAGTTTACTGAGAAGGACTCTGCCATCATTTTGAGGAGTAAATTCATTTGGGAGTTTGTTGTTGTTCAGTCGCACAGTCGAGTCTGACTCTTCGCAACCCCATGGACAAGATCACGCCAGGCCCTCCTCTCTTCAGCCGTCCTCTGAAGTTTGCTCAGTTTCATGTTCATTGCATCTATGACACTGTCTAACCATCTCATCCTTTGCAATCCCCGTCTTCTTTGACCTTCAATCTTTCCCAGCATCAGGGTCTTCTCCAGTGAGTGCTCCCTTCTCATTTGGTGGCCAAAGTATTTGAGCTTCAGTTTCATAGTTCAAAAGAATCTATTCTTCGGCGCTTGGCCTTCCTTATAGTCCAACTCTCGCAGCCATACATGACTACTGGGAACACCATTGCTTTGACCATGCGGACTTTTGTTGGCAGGGGGATGTCTCTACTTTTTATCATGCTGTTTAGGTTCGCCATCACTTTCCTCCCAAGGAGCAGGCGTCTTTTAATTTCATGGCTGCTGTCACAGCCCTTAAGTGGTCCCAGGTCACTCACATACAGCCTTATTTTCATAGGATTAGTTGCCTGTACACTTCCAAGAGCAGCAACAGCTTTGTGGCACTGTTTCTGGTCAGAGATTTCTGGAATGGAATGTTTCCTTTTTTAGGTCCATCTTTGTATGGTGGACATAGCCAAAGATGCCCTAGTGCACATTCAATAAAATGAGGAGGTGAGGTGGACACTCTCTAGATATTTTCAGGAGGCACTGCAATTCTATTTTATTTGCCATGTCTAATAGAAATCACCACTACAATCAGCAGGAGTTTGCCATTAAGGCTACCAGGAAGAGTCCCAATAGGCTTGTGGGCTGCCCCCTAACACACACTGGGGCCATTTGGTCCCAAGGGCTACCCTTGTCCAGGACCACCCTAGTGTAAAAAGAAGGAAAGGGTTACCCCAGTGCTCTGAGAAATGGGGCTGTATTGCCCAACCTCACTGTGGAAAGAGATGGGGTCAACTGACCTAGCTGCAGGGAGAAACCATCACACCCAGGCTTGCCACAGTGAGGGATGGGATGGGGTTGCTCCACCCAGCCTTATCTTGCTGCAGTGAAAGAGAGGGCTGTTGGCCTCTCCTTGCCCAGCTGCCATGGTCAGGCACCTCTTGCTCTGAGCTGGCTGAGCAGGCGCTCCCCCCACCCTTGGGGGTGCAGGGTCAGAGTGGGCAGGGAACAGGATCCTTTACCAGAGCCATTCCTCCCATCTGCCCCAATAATCAACATTATGTTTTACAATAATGATATAGAAATATATAGCTAGGTAATAACACCTCCTTGAAGGATCTTGAGACATGGGAGTTCTTGTATCTGTGAGACATGTATTTCCACCTTTAGAGGGCTATTACTTGTTAATCTGGTTTGACTAATTCAGTTTGATAGCTTCTTTTCTTTGGTGGATTTTTTCCATGAAAAAACCCTCCATTTTTATTCTGCCTGCTTACATTTGGGAGATAAGCAATAAAAAGACAGAAGCATGATTATAGCACTACCAAACCCCCCCAAAAAACAAACAAAAAAGCCCACAACCCTACAACCCCTGTGACAATAATTAGTGAATATGAACTATGTATAATAAATAAATAAATTGTCAATATTCCAGTATGTGTTGTATCATCTAATCAACAATACATGAACTTACAACAATTACTTTAAAGTCTATAATGCCATCAAAAAAGAACATGATGCACATTCAACCTTTCAAATACAAGCCACAAAATATAGTAGCAGAACTTTTTCATAAAGGTATGTGTCCGAAATGACTGTTGATGGTATCCTCATAAACAATCTTCATAAAGTTCAACTGGGTAGAATGCCTCCCAAAAGTTTCCAAAGTTCCAGCACAAGATTCCCCAAGTTCCAGCTGTTCCAGCTGACAAGCAGGCCAACTTACAAGATCATTTCAAATGTCCCTCTTTTCAAAGTAAGAATAGCTTCACAGTATACAACAGCTTCTTGAATGGTGTTACATTCTTACACTGGAACTAACAAATACAAAAAACATTCTCAACGTGGAAATGTCCCCCAACAGGAAACCAACCAATGATCAAAAAAAATATATAAAATTGACTATATCCCATTCCAATTAAAATACCTACCCATTGTTTATTCTCACCCTCAATAAATGGCTGAAAAAGCCTTCCAAGATTGACAGTTCCAGAGGTGCAGTTCTCTGAGACAATCTGATCACCCATCACATTTAAAATGCTGAATTGGTTTCCTGCAGGTGTGTGCAATCATTTCATCATATTCCACATTTAAAGAGATATGTGCTACCATTAACCATTCAGCATGAAATCAATACAAATTAGCATGACATTACATCTAATGTGTTACATTCTTATAAAAACAGGTAAGACCCATGTTTTGATTCAATCCATGTGGGACAACAGAACATAATTCCACAATGCCTCCTGGCACGAAATAATCCTTTGAACATTAACAATATTTTGGCCTTGTGGAGATGAGCTGCTTTCCATTGCTGAATCATTTTCATTCTCTGTACCAGCATAAGAGAACTGACAACCTTCTGACCCACCATATGTTTGTGTTAAAACTGTGGAGTGCTACTACACCTGAAATCAAAAGCATGGTGTGATTTAATATCTCCCCACATTCTAAGTAAGCTTGGATTGAGAAGACAGGGGTTGCATCCAGCTCCCACCATATGCATAATGGCTCTTTGGGCTCCAACCAACCAAGAGCCCATGTTATCTGATTCCTTTTGCCTGTAAACAGGAAGGTTTCCTGATGTCCCCATTCATTTTTAATGGTACAGTATGTTTTCTTTCAGAAGACAATAGGTAGCAGGAATTTACTATTATTTGAAAAAAGTTGGGGATATTTCCTCTTTGTACTTTCATTGCCAGATGGAATCATTTTGTACCATACAGGATTTTTTTTAAAAAAAAATGAATGCATCACTCTCTTTTTGTTTGTTTCTAATAAAAAGATCTAGTTATAAATAAATAAATAAATACATGACTTGTTGGATGCCATCTGACAATGCTATTGATTCAAAAGATGTCCTGAAATTAAAAGAGACTTGTGATCACAGAAGGGCTTCTTCAGTTACCCTGGATACCAACTTAGATCCTCAGAACTAACTGTTGCTTAAGGATCTCAAGATTTTCAAATATCGTCTATTCACTACTTTCTTCAAAACCTGACCTGCGTGGCCCAGGCTAGTCTAATCTCATCAGATCTTGTAAGCTAAACAGATCCATCACTGTTTAGTACTTGGATGGGAGCCCACCAAGAAAGTCCAGAGTTGCTGTGCAGAAACAGGCATCGGTAAACACCTCTGAACATCTCTTGCCTTGAAAAACCTACAAGGTTGCCTTAAGCTGGTTATGACTCGATGGTACTTTCCCTGTTCACTCTTCAAGGCAGTACCAGTTTAAAAAAAGCCAAACTTCATACCTGACTTTTAGCTGGTATTTTCAAATCAGAGAGAGTTACAGGAAAGTCAAAGCTTTAATTCCAATGAGCTGTATTAAAAACAAGCAGCTGAAGAAAGGGTGGTGGTGGAAAGTGCCATCAAGTCACACTAGTGACCCCGTGGGGTTTTCAAGGCAAGAGACGTTCAGAGGTGGTTGGCCATGGCCTGCCTCTGCATAGCCAGGGTCAGCCCTGCTTAGCTTCCAAGATTTGATGAGATCGGACTACCATGGACTATCCAGGGCAACTATACTGCAGCATAATTCCTTAAGAAACTGATGAATCTCTATAATCCTCTCAGGCATTATGTATTACTTCATTTTATTTAAAACATTTCTGTGCCACCTTTCCACACAAACAGGGTCCTCATACTCTTTCATGGCTCACAGCTGCAATTGCACTGATTTTTTTTGTGCCACAATCGCCTCATGGCTCCTTTCACTTCCTTGTTCCTCAAGCTGTAGATGATGGGATTCAGCATGGGGGTGAAGACTGTGTAAAATAATGACAGTAACTTCTTGGTGTTTGCAGAATAACTGGATTTTGGTCGGAAATATGTGAGTCCAATTGTGCCGTAGAACAAAGTCACCACAATCAGATGTGAGGAGCAAGTGGAGAAGGCCTTGTGCCTGCCTGTAACTGAGGGCATCCTCAAGATGGTGACGATGATGCGGGCATAGGAGACCAGAATGAGCATAAATGGAGAGAGTACTACTAAAATAGTTCCAGTGATTGCATATATCTCAAACAGATACGTATCTCCACATACCAATTTTAGTACTGGTGGGCTGTCACAGAAAAAGTGATTTACCTCATTAGGGCCACAGAATGGGAAACTAAACAGCCATGTTGTCTGGACTGTCCCCACTGGGATTCCTGAGAACCAAGAGAACAGAGCCAGCTGGACACAAAACCTCTTGTTCATAATTACAGTATAATGCAGGGGGTTGCATATGGCTGCATAGCGGTCATAAGCCATGGTAGCTAAGAGAAAACACTCTGTGCTTCCAAAGAAAAAGAAGAAAAACATCTGCATTGCACAACCAGGAAAGGAGATGGCTTTGTTCTCTGACAGGAGATTCACCAGCATTTTAGGGACAATAACTAAAGTGAGACATAGCTCTAAAAGGGAGAGATTCCTGAGAAAGAAATACATGGGGTTTTGAAGAGCTGGATCTGTGGTTGTGAGTAAGACGATGAAGATGTTTCCCAACAGCATGGCAAAATACATAATCAGAAATATCACAAAAAGCAGAAGCTGCAGCTGAAGAAGATCAGAAAATCCAAACAAAATAAACTCAGTGACAATACTGTTGTTTGCCCAGGTCATTCCTGTGTAATTGCTGAAAAGTCAAGAAGGGACATAGTTAATTTTTTTTCTTGCTCTGGTGTTCCTGCAATGTTAGAGTGGGAAAAGTCACACTTAGAAACACAATAATTCTGAAGGGTTTAGGGAACAAGAAAAATGCCAGCCATATCTTAAGCATACAGCTTCTAGTATGGTTAAGGAGTACTGTGGTTGGAGTACTGCAGTGTCACTTCCAACTGGTCATCTTGAGAAGATTCATGATGAACAGGGTCAGTACTGAAGAACTATGACATCTTGCACATCAAATCACAAGTTTACATTCTCCTTAAAAGGGTAAAGGTTCCCTTGCTCGAAAGCCAGTCGAATCCGACTCTAGGGTTGCGGTGCTCATCGCCGTTTCAAAGCCGAAGAGACAGGGCTGTCCGAAGACGTTTCCGTGGTCATGTGGGTGGCATGACTAAACACCAAGGTGCACGGAACGCTGTTACCTTCCCACCAAAGTGGTACCTATTTATCTACTTGCAATTTCTTGCTTTCGAACTGCTAGGTTGGCAGGAGCTGGAACTAGAGATGGGAGCTCACTCCGTCATGAGGCACCTGGGTCTCAAACTTCTGAACTACTGACCTTCCACAGCCTGCAGTTCAGCGTCTTAACCACATTCTCCTTATTATCCAGTTAATTACTATTGCTATGTTTTCCTTTGCAGAAAGGAAAACAAAATAAAAGGGGGGGGGGAGAAAAGTATTGAACTGCTGTCGTCACACAGACTTTTCATAGGAGGCATATCCACATTGTTCCTTAGGGTGGGAGAAGGATGAGGGATGAGACAAGGAGACAAAAGGAAGGACATTCAGATGGGTGATACTACCTGATCCAAGGTGTACGAGAGGTTGAGAATTGTGAGAAGTCTTTGCAGGAGAAGTCCCAGACGGAAGAGTATTGAGGGGGAGACAGAGAGAGTACCCTTGTGAAGCAGTTGCAGGAGTATCCAGGTAATAGGAGAACCTGGTGCACATTTCACTGACCTAGGCTGGTCCTTATATGGGGAACAGCCCCATGTCTAGACATGAAACCCCACTTTCCCAGGATTGGCATTTGCCCAAGAAATGAAGTTTGAATTTGACTGGGTAGCTTGAAAGTAACTGCTGTACAAATCTGGTAGGAAGATAAGGAGGTAACACCTGACATTCCAAGGTGGGGCGACCAATGGATGGATTTAGCATCTTAACAAAGAATCGGATATGAAAAGATGGTAAAACTGTCTTCTCGATGGCTCATTCTGTGTAGATCAGATGTTAGGCTGCTTTGAGCAATGGATGGGAGGTGATAAATAAGGGGTGCCAATTACCTGGAAGTGAAGAAGAAGAAGAAGAAGAGATTGGATTTATACCCCGCCCTTCACTTGGAGTCTCAGAGCGGCTTACAAACTCCTTTCCCTTCCCCTCCCCACAACAGACACCCTGTGAGGTGGGTGGGGCTGAGAGAACTCTGACACAAACTGTTCTTTTTCAAGGACAGCTGTGCCAGAGCTTGTGACTGACCCAAGGTCACATCAGCAGCTGCAAGTGGAGGAGTGGGGAATCAAACCCGGTTCTCCCAGATTAGAATCCGCACACTTAACCACTACACCAAACTGGCTCTCCCACCAGTGGTTCATATTGCTTTGATGAAGCATCCTTTGAAGCAAGGGAGATGCTTGTAGTATTCATGCCATGGAGCTGGGGGCACGTAAATGCTTTATGCATACCAGCAATATCCTGTCTCTGTGACAGAATGTGCCTGGGTCATGACAGACCATGTGTGTTATCTGAGACTCATCCCAGGGATCCCCATCACACTTAGGCTTTCAGGTGGGTGGCCTTCAAAACAACTAAGAGGGGACTGGGGATCAGACTTGGGGGCTCTCATGAGAAGTGAGGAGAGGGGTTTCACAGAGAGTAAGTTTTAAAAGAGTGGGCTGAATTTAGAACATTTGAAAAAGACTGCATCAGCCTTCAGTTTTAATGTGCTGGGAGTAGTCTTGAAATAGGATGTCACAGGAACAATTGTAGTAAAGATTATGCTGCACAAACAAGTAGAACACTGTAATTTCCTCACAATTTCCTCCTCCAATTCAGTTTCAGTGTTCCTAGTTTCCCATTTCTAAGAGTTCATAAAGCAGTTCTGTGATGTTTACAGCCTGCTGTTTCAGGAGCATTACAGTCTATTCTTTCTGCTGGATTGAGTGGAGCAGATTTTATCATACCCTAAGTGAAATAGGGCTGTGAGTAGAAATTTTGCACTTACAAATCTGCAGCAAGCCCATCCCATCTAAGCCCTTACCTGTTGCAGAAATGAGAAGATGATACCACAGTAATTGGACAGAACGTGGATGAATGCATTTACCTGAGTTTCCTCCAATGGGGATAAAATATATAAGTCCCACCAGGAAATGTTAGTTATGTGTTTCAACTACTCTCTAATTAGTATTAGGCAGTATTTTGATTTGATTTATTAAATTTCTACCCCAGCCTCCCAGCCAAGGCTGGCTCAGGAGATGGGAGACCACCAAGGAATACCAGTGTAATGGCACAGAGGCAGGCAATGGCAAACCACTAATGTCTCTAGCCTTGAAAACCCTGCGGGGCTGTCATAAGTCAGCTGTGACTTGACAGCAAAACAAAAACAAAAAACCCCAACAACAGGACAACAAAGCCTTCATGGAAATTACAGTGGCATACTTCAAAATGGTGATGGGAGAAATAAGCAAGTAGTAATGCACAAGTGGAGGTTCACAATATTTGTTGGCAGTGTTCCCTCTAAGCTGAGCTGGCATGAGCTAGCTCACAGGGTGTGTGTTTTTTTGCCTCCGGCTCGCACATTTTTGTCCTAGATCAAGAAGGATGGCTCCACAGCAAACTAATGTACGCAGTAGCCAAATTGCTCGCTCACAACTCTAATGCCAGTAGCTCACAAAGTAGAATTTTTGCTCACAAGACTCCACGTTTAGAGGAACATTGCTTGTGGGGGGGAATTCCATCTCCCCTCACTTTCTTACTGGCCTTGGCATGGTCCCGAGGTTCCCTGCAGCCACTGCTCCCACCACCTTCCCCCCTCCCACTCTCAATGGCTCATCCAGTCCTGTGCGTTCCTGCCCAAAAACAGCCCTGACAATCAGTGTTCCCTCTAAACTGAGTTAGTGTGAGCTGCCTCACAGTTTTTTCGTCTCTGGCTCACACATTTTTGTCTTAGCTCAGGAATGATTATTCCAGAGCAAAGTAATTTATGCAGTAGCCAAATTGCCTGCTCACAACTTTAATGCCAGTAGCTCACAAAGCAGAAGTTTTGCTCACAAGACTCCACAGCTTAGAGGGAACATTGCTGACAATACTTGTTGGCAGTGTTCCCTCTAAGCTGAGCTGGCATGAGCTAGCTCACAGGGTTTGTGGGGTTTTTTGCCTCCGGCTTGCACATTTTTGTCCTAGATCAAGAAGGATGGCTCCACAGCAAACTAATGTATGCAGTAGCCAAATGGCTTGCTCACCAACTCTAATGCCAGTAGCTCACAAAGTAGAATTTTTGCTCACAAGACTCCACGTTTAGAGGGACATTGCTTGTGGGGGGGGAATCCCATCTCCCCTCACTTTCTTACTGGCCTTAGCATGGTCCCGAGGTTCCCTGCAGCCACTGCTCCCACCACCTTCCCCCCTCCTACTCTCAATGGCTTATCCAGAGTGGCTCCAGGTGGGCTCACTGAGACTTTCTTCCCCCATCCTGGTTTTTGGTGGCTCATCCAGAGCTGCTCCGGGTGGGTATTCCAAGGCTGTCTCTCCCTCCCACATGGTGTTGTCTGGGAGCTGCTCAAATGTGGGGCCACAATACTCTCAGGGGTACTCCCACCCTTCCACTTCAATGCCAAGCCCAGTGCGACTCAGGGGCTTTGTTAGGCTTTGCAGCCATCACTGTCAGGCACAGCCGTACCCCCAAGCTGTGCCACCGCTACCAGGCCCAGCACAACTCACAGGGTTGGCCACATGCCCCATAACTCTCCCAGGCTGTGAGGCTGCTGCTGGGCCGATCAGGGTTCCTGAGCTGCATGGCTGCTGGGCCCAGCAAGGCTTCTTGGCTGTTTGGCCATGGCTGCTGGGCCCAAAAAGGCTTCCCTGTCCTGCCAGTGAACACTGAAGGTAAATGCATTCTCTGTGCTTCATCAGAGAATGCTACTTACAAACAAACAAATACCTTTTATTGGCATAAAATATTAGACAGTTGCCATTAGGGTAAAACAATCCAAAAAAATTATGGAAAATAAATAACGTCTAAAAGCATTGCAAAGGTATGTCTATTTATATGAGCTTAAATTATAGCAAGATAAAATTTTGCCCAACCACAAAACCTTGAATTAAATGGCCACATGCCCCATAACTCTCCCAGGCTTTGAGGCTGCTGATGGGCCGATTGGGGTTCCCGAGCTGCATGGCTGCTGGTCCCAGCAAGGCTTCTTGGCTGTGTTGCCATGGTCAATAATCTCCGAATCTCGAGAAGTAAGGAGGTAGTGTAGCTTGCTTCCGTCCGGTTGGCATGCTAGAGAATGCTACTTTAATTTTGGGGGAATTACCCCTCTGTATAGTTTTTTTTAATATTTAAGAGTGCCCTGCAAACTTAGGGGGTACCCCAGCATTGCAGAAAAATCTCTTTAGCATCCATATGGCCCCGATCTGCAGATTTAGATATCCCCAGATGGGGGCCACATGTGGCTAATAGTATATGGATGGAGGTATATATGATGGACACATTACATTTTCTGGCTTTAGGTGCACAGAGAGGACAAACTCTTCTGTTTATTACTGTCTGGGTACACACATACCACAAACACCATAAATACATAGTCTAAAAGATATGTAATATATAGTTATTGGCATCTCATTTCCCCCTCCTCCACTATTTCCTCTTTCCTTTTCCTGAAAGCCCCGATAGCCTTCCCCATTTTCCTGCTTCCTCTCTTTCTAAGGTTGCCATCCCCCAGGTGGGACCTGGAGATTTCAAGGAATCATAACAGATCACCCATCTATAGAGATAAGTTGCTCTTAGGGTTGCCAGCACCAAGTTGGAAAATTCCTGGAGATGTGGGGGTGGAGCCTTGGGAAGGTGAAGTCTGGAGAGGGAAGTGACTTAATCAGGGTATAATGCCAGGGAGTCTACTCTCCAAAGCAGCCATTTTGTCTAAGTGAACTGATCTCTGTCATTTGGAGAGCAGTTTTTAATTCTGGGTGATATCCAGAGTCCACTTGGAGGCTGGCAATCCTAGGTCCCCTGGAGGAAAGCAAAAAAAGAAAAAAGTAGGGCAGAGATCAAAGCTAGCTCAAGATCTCCATTTCCAAGGGTCCTGGGTTCAACCTACATAGGGACAGTAGGAAGGAAGGTCAGGGGAATGGCTGCTGCAAAGTTCAGGGGGATGGGGGGGCTATCTTTATACTGTAAACATATTGGAAGATAAAAAGCAAGTGTACTAAGGTGAATAAATACCTGAAAATACCTTATCAGTTTTTTTGGGGTATTTATTCAGCCAAATCAGATTTTCTAATCTAATTTGGCTACCAATCCAGTTGAACCTGAATAAAACCCAATATTATCCAGCTTTTATTTGGGCTCAGTTGGGGGTGGAGCCTTGGGAAGGTGAGGTCTGGAGTGGGAAGTGACTTTATCAGGGTATAATGCCAGAGAGTCTACTATCCAAAGCAGCCATTTTGTCCAAGTGAACTGATCTCTGTCATCTGGAGAGCAGTTTTTAATTCTGGGTGATATCCAGAATCCACTTGGAGACTGGCAATCCTAGATCCCTTGGAGAAAAGCAAAAAAAGAAAAAGTAGGGCAGATATCAAATCTAGCTCAAGATCTCCATCTCCAAGGGTCCTGGGTTCAACCTACATAGGGACAGTAGGAAGGAAGGTCAGGGGAATGGCTGCTGCAAAGTTCAGGGGGATGGGGGGTATCTTTATTGGAAGATAAAAAGCAAGTGTAGTAAGGTGAATAAATGCCTGAAAATACCTTATCAGTTTTTTTGGGGTATTTATTCAGCCAAATTAGATTTTCTAATCTAATTTGGCTACCAATCCAGTTGAACCTGAATAAAACCCAATATTATCCAGCTTTTATTTGGGCTCAGCTGAGGTGGTGCAAGTTCACTCACTGCAAGTTCCAAGTGAACTCACACCACTTCTGGGTTCCTTGCATGTGGCTTGGCTTTGCAAAAGCCATTTAAAGGGAAAGATCAGCTGAGGTGGTACAAGTTCACTCACTGCAAGTTCCAGGTGAACTCACACCACTTCTGGGGGAAAGAGGGGGAACGCATCAGCAAGTGAAGGGAAGGCATTCAAAGCCTTCCATTTCTTTGCTAAGGTGATTCACCACTGCAGTATGACTTGGGGAGGGAGTCACACTGAATCACCCTGAGTCACACTGCAGTGGCTGCACACCTCAGCAAGGGGCAGGAATGTATTTAAAGAGATTGCAGTCTCTTTAAATGTGTTTCTTTCTGTCACTTAGGCATGCCACTGCTGCAGCACAACTCGGGGAGGGAAGGGAAGGTATGGAGCCGAATAAATTCAGCAAGACCAATTATTTCCCTATCAGTATATCAGTGTATAACAATATTTTTCGGGTTTTGTATACCAACTCCAGAAAACACTGATTTATTTTTTTTGTGCGCACCCCGAAACTATATGCTCTGGTGCCATCCACTTCAGGATGGTGATGGGAATTGCAGTGGTGAATCCTAGAGCTTCTCATGCCACTTTAAACAAATGTAAAATAAGGTCATTCTGCCCACTTTGCCTCCTCTGCCATTCATCGATATGCAAGCTCCACATTTTCCCTCATTGTTTCACATTTAATTTTTTTACAAGCAGTGTGAGTCTAACATTAGGAGATTAATGCTAGACTCATGCTACTTGTAAAAAAAATGTAAAATAAGGGACAAAGGAGCTTGCACAGTTATGAATGATGGCAGATTGGGTGGAATGACCTCCACGTGGGCAGTGGAGAGACCTTCGAGGGGCAGGAAAGGAGGTGGGAGGAAAATCCAATGGAATCTGTATGCTTTTGAATTACCTTTATCTCAAAAAATCAAAGCAAGGGAAAATCAACACAAAACCATTCTCAGAAACCCTTGGGAAACAGTGACTGGAAAATGATATGAATGCTGAAGGTGGCGGGGGGGGGGAATCATTGCATAATGAAAAATAAAACCCAATGCAGGGTGAAAGTGAGGTAAAATGCAGAACAATAAAGAAAATCTGACAGACATGCACAGTAAAAGTGAGGGAAAACACCCATATATAAAAGGCCTCTGTCTCATCTATGATTCTTTGCATCCACAAAATGTTGTGCTTTTCCAATCACCACTGTCCTTTTTTGGAACACTTTCAGAAGATATTTGCACAAACCTTATTGATTTTCAGGGCCGTGAATAAAACTTCAGTTTTTTAGGACTTTTGAATAGCTGATTACTCTGTTTTGTTTGGTTTTCTGTAACAATTGGATATTGGCAGAGGAACTTTTGTATTATTATGAAGTAATTCTAGTAATTTGTGTATGGATATATTTTCATAATATTATGGGCAGATACTAGACATATGGAAAAACTGTACTGTAACAATTGGATATTGGCAGAGGAACTTCTGTATTATTATGCAGTAATTCTAGTAATTTGTATATGGATATATTTTCATAATGTTATGGGCAGATACTAGAAATATGGAAAAACTGTAGGATGGACATTGCTTTATTGTTTGCATGAACTGTAAACTATTATCAGCCCCAATAGCTACTAAAGGAGAGCTTTAATACATTGTATTTTGGGGTCAAAGCCACAGAGAGTGAAATCCTGTAAACTATTTTAAAAAAACCCTGGTTGGATTCAGCCAGATATTTCACTCAATAGTGTCTATTACCACTATTTAGTATAGTACCCCTTCTACATACCATTCACCCATGCATGTTCCATGATTCCTAGCATAGCTTTTTTGGTGGTAAAAGGAGACTCCCATCTCCTTCATTCACTGGTGGAAAATTTAGTTGGATCAAATTCTCTTCCTTACTTTTAAGGTTTTGAGATTTGAAAGCTCTTGGACACCCCAATACATTTCCTTTTCTGACTCAGCAACCGATTCAAGGCAGCCCTCATTTCCTTGTTCCTCAAGCTATAGATAAGAGGGTTCAGCATGGGTGTGAAAACAGTGTAGGAGAGAGAAAGCAACTGTCTGGTTCCTGGGGAATAGCTTGATTTAGGTCGGAAGTGAGTCAGACTGGTTGAGCCATAAAACAGAGTCACTACAATCATATGTGAAGAGCAAGTGGAGAAGGCTTTCCGTCTCCCCTCAGCCGAAGGCATTCTGAAGATGGTGTTGATAATATGGGTATAAGAGCCCAGAAGCAGTAAGAAAGGACACAGTATAATTAGAAGAGTACCTATGAGAGAATATAGTTCAAAGTTGGAAGTGTCTGCACAGACCAAGTGTAGAATTGGTGGACCATCACAAAAGAAATGGGGAACTGTAAGGGACCCACAGAATGGGAAACTAAACAGCCATGTAACCTGTAGTGTCCCAACAGGAAATCCTGAGGCCCACACTGCAATTACCAGAAGCATACAGAACTTCCTATTCATTATGACAGTGTACCTTAGAGGATTGCATATGGCCACAAACCGGTCATAAGCCATGGCAATGAATAGGAAACACTCCATGGTAACAAAGTAGACAACACCAAAAATCTGTAACCTGCATCCTGACCAGGAAATGGTCTTTTTCTCTACAAGAAGGTTCACAAGCATTTTGGGGACAATTAGTGTTATGAAGCCAACTTCTGCAAAAGCCAGATTTTGGAGAAAGAAGTACATAGGACTGTGCAAGGCAGTGTCTATTCTTGTTATCAAGATGATAAGGGTGTTTCCCATCAGAGTCGCCATGTAGATAAGAAAAAACACAACAAAGAGGAGAGTCTGGAGCTGGCCTAGGTTGGAAAACCCCAAAAGATTGAATTCTTTTATCCCAGTCTGATTTGACCAGACCATTGTTTATGTCCCAATTTTTTTAAAAAATGTTTGTATGTTTATTTAGAAAATGTCCATGCTGTCTTTCTGGAGATCCTACTTGAGGAAGATTCTATCAGCTTTTCCTTTGGTGAAAGATGAAGGAAGCCCCCCTTTTGACCACCAAAAAGACTTCCGCAGGAATTGTGGAATCTGTAAAAACAAAAGCCATGTGTGATGTGGGGATGCTGTGAAGAAGGGAGGCAAAGTGAACAGTTTGAGCAGAAAAGAAATAGAATCTAAATCCAAAATTACAATTTTAACCAACACTAGCAATTATATTGTTTTCTCAGCCTTGTGTGTCTGCCTTATCTCAGTGTAGAGAGCATTCTTAGTATTTTCCATGACATCAGCGCATTGTTGATTTCTAAGCAAAAAAAAAAGGTACAAAATCATGATCTTCCATTATCACTTCAAAATGTTCTTTTATCTCAGTTTATGATATCATAATTTAAGATTCATAGGGCTATCAAAGAGACCCGGAAAACACAATAGCTGGTAAAAAATAATTCAAGTGATATTTCGGATCCATCACAAATTAGCAATTCTCCTATGTCTTATCTGACAATCTTGGTTGTACTGTGTTCAATAGTAGCATTTTCAAATCAGGCTATTGGAAGATAGCAACTTAATTACTTAGCACTCCAGTACTAGGCATTTGGATTCTACAAATCCACAGGTAAACTTTTTCTCCCAAGGCCACTGAGATACCATACACATGAGCAGAGTTTCTCTATTGGTGGTTAAACTCCCCACTTTCAGAATCATATTACTGACACTGAGGTTTGGGAGTGGTAAGACTCTTTCCTTTCATCTCTATTTTTGCTCATCGTGGCTAAAGAAGAGCATAAAAATGGAGTAAGGGAAAAGAGCTTGGTTAGGAGATCTCTGGCCGAGTTCAGACCGGCAGTTTGCCCCAATATAGGCACGAGCCAGAAACATTTCACAAACGGATTAAAGGGGCCATTCACACAGGCACATCTGTCCAGCGTTCCCCAGCCGTACTCAACCCGTCTCGTAACGCTTCCCTCCCGAGTTTAAAAGATACCAGGTGAAAGTGGTATCAAACCCTGGAAAGCATGATTATCCCATGTCCGTCCCACACCAACAAAGTGTGCACGCCGAAAACCACGGTTTCTTCTTGTGCGCTTATGCGCATAAGTGCATATCTCCAGATTACTAAAAAGGGGCGGGCCAACAGTGTGAACGCTCTCTTGCACCTCCTCCCGGTATGCTCCCGCATCAGTCACTGCAGTGTGAATGGGAAAACCTGAAACAGTTTGTTCTGGGTCTTTTTTGCCATGACTCCCTCCCGCTTCAACCTGCCAGTCTGAACTTGGCCTCTGATATTGCATAGCTGCTGCTGCTTCTTCTTTTCCTCTGAAGTTCTGAAGCTTCCTGAGCTTTCCACAACACAGTTTAAGGCAATCTGTATAGTTATACTTGAACTTGTATTAGTTTATGCGGTCAGTACAAATATTTACACATTCTACATATATGCAGAGCTAATCTGGAATGTTCCAGGAGAGCAATTGCAATAAAAATGAACATTACACTCCATGGAGATGTGTACTTCAAGACAAGTAATAATGAACACATGAAGCTGCCTTATACTGAGTCATACCATAGGCCCATCACTGTCAGTATTGCTCACTCAGACTGACAACAGCTTCTCAGGGACTCAGTAAAGATCTTTCATATCACTTACTCCCTGATCCTTTCAACTGGAGATGCCAGGGATTGAACCTGGGACATTCTGCATAGCAAACAGAGGCTCTTCCAGTGAGCCACAGTCCCTCCCCAATGAATCTCCCCAATTAAGGTATGAAACCTGTGAGCACTAATTTTCCCCATTCCATTCTTCTTGTGCAGTTCTCCAGAATTCTCCTTGAACTGATTTTTTTCTGCTTTTAGCATAGAGAATCTCAAAAATCAGTTTTCAGAACGTACGTGTATGCAGTTGACATTAGCCTTAGATTCTAGTTAATTCACATCTTATTTCCCCCCACTATAGTAATGACAGATAATACAGTTCATGAACATTGATCAGATTTCATGAAAGGAATTTTCTTATAATCCATAATGCTTGGTGTGGAAGGAGGACAGAGACAAAATGCCAAAAACCTGGTGTAACTAGATTTCCAAAAGTATGACACAATTAAATTGTAAATGCCACTTTGGAATCTCAAAATTCATGGGAAATTTGGGAGACAGGGGATTTTTCAAAGCTTCCTTAGAGAAGATTTGAGCAATATAGTAAAGCCGCTTATTTGTGGTCATTGATAAAAAGTTTCCTTCCTAAAAATATTTACCACTGTTCTGTGCAAACAGAAATAAGCCAAGAAGTACAAACGGCTGAGATCGAAAATCATTGCTTCAGTTTTATGAAGCAATTCATAAAACTACTAATTATTTCTGAAAATCATTAATAGAAATTCATTAATCTTCTCTCTCTCTCTCTCTCTCTCTCTCTCTCTCTCTCTCTCTCTCTCTCTCTCTCTCAGTCTCTCTCTCACACACACACACACACACACACACACACACACAAACACAAGAATTGCTGTCCAAGTTGCAGAAAAATGTCTTTGCCTTAACTTGTTTTTATGCTTTGGAGACTCTAGCTCCTAAATCATGTATCTCTTATAAAGTTTAAGAGCTTTGAATTCCTTACCTGGCTTTTTTATGGGTAGTGGCTCCACAGTGATGTCCAATGAAAACTACTTTTGGAATGCTACCTGTGACTATTTATTATTTCTCTTCCCCCATGAAAAATCTGACATAGCGTCTCTCTTGGATCTTAACTACTGTGAGATAATTGCTCTGAGAATAACAAGGAAGACAAGTCAGAGGGCCATTGCCAGCAACTGATAAGCAAAGGCCAGAATATACCAGCACTTCTGCTAATTATGATCCCCATTGGAGAACCCATGGCTTCCCTGACTGTTGTAGAAGGTGCTTGTTTCCCACACTATGAATCCTAACAGGATAAGCAGCTTTGCATTTATTTATTTATTTATTTACTGGTGAAGCACAGGGAGTGTATGATTAGTATTGTATGGCTATGGTCAGACTGATGGCTTGGAACGATATGGCACTACCTCTAATTGTAGCTCTTTGAAGTATTGCAGGGCATACCAACGAGATGGCACAACCTGCTGTGGGTCACCCGCACAGCTGTCCCATGGGCACTCATCTACATTGCTGCAGCCCCTCAGCCACGGAGCACACTGCCTGGTCATTTTTTTTAAATGCAGTTGGGTGTATGCCCATATAGGCAGAAACTCCCCACCCCAAAAAAACCCCAACCCAGTGGCAGAAATGGTTCAGACTGCAAATCCATTCTCCGTGCACTCCCCCATATTCAGACATCCAGCCATGCATGATGAATGCACAGGGAACCAAAAATACCACATTATTTCCAACTTGTCATACAACAGGGTGAGTAGGACTGGGGAATGGGTGACAGATGTGGCTGTGTGACCCTGCCAGTTTAATCCATTAGGGAACACAGCTATATCAGGCCAAACTGCCAGTCTGAAGGCAGACTATGTCCTGTACTGCAATGTGTTAGGCCCTAATCTAATAGCCTAAACTAAATACTGTATGCTTTTTAAACAATAAATATTCAGTATCAAATCTAAGGGTTTTTCTGTTTTTGTATTATGAAATATTCATAAGTATTCTAATATCCACTTTTCTATTGTTTCATACATACACAATGAAGAAAAAAACAATAAGATAAGCCAATCACAAGATAGAGAGCTCATGGATTACAAAACAAAGGTGTGTATTTACAAAGTCACCAAAGTGGGAAAAGGTCCTTTTTAAACAATGGTATCAATAAAGTTACAGATCTTGAACTGGATCAATATTTTCAGAAGCCATGGAACATCCACTATGTGCCAAAATGAACTTGGCAAGGCTTAGAACTCCACAATACATCCACATAGGTGTGACAATCCCTTAAACTCTTTAAAATGATGTACTACTAATGTAAATCCCAGGTAGTCTCAGGCATTTCATTTCTTCATCAGAGAGTAAAGTTCATGTAATCTTTCTTTAATAATTCTATATTAGAGCTTATCATTAAACATCAAAAGCACTTTACACCTCCGAGGAGTAACAAAGCTTATGTGAGGAATAGTGTATTTTTTTAATTAATGTATTAGGCCCTGACAACCCTTCCAAGCACACTGGATTGTTATCAGACCTGGATTGCAATGAGTGAGCACGCGTGCATACACAAACACACAAATGCAAGAGAATTTGAAAATATCTTGTAATTGCAAGATAAATTTTTATTTATGTCCATAAAAGGAAAAAATAACAATCCTAATAACAAGTCAGATTACAATCCAGTGTGCTTGGAAGGGTTGCCAGGTCCTTCTCGGATTAGTGGGGTTGCCAGTTCCAGACAGGGAAACTCCTGGAGATTTGGCACCTAGGGAAGACAGGAGACCTCAGTGGGGTACGATGAATACTATACAGTCCACCTTCCAATGCATTCATTTTCTCCAGGGGAACTGATCTCTGTAGTCTGGTTAACACTTTCCCACACACAAATTGAAACTTCCCCCCATGCAAACTGTGTTAGCAGAAAAAGGGTTTTCTGCTTCAGAGTTGCTGTTTGAGAGCCTCCCGTGATTGACTCAAAAGTATATGTACTGAAGCAGTCTCATGTAAATCTGCAGGTAAGGATGTTTACACTTTCCCCATGTATTCCAAGGAAAAGAGGCAACGCAAAGGAGGATGAGAGTTCAAGCATCTCAATGGGGTCGCTGAAGTGGTAAAGTGAGAGATTGGTTCAGCGAGATAGTGCTCACTATAGAACATTAAAAAAACCCTTATAGGAATATCACACATTGGGCAAAAAGGGCAGGGGGGGGAGTAACACTGTTTGAAATGACCAAAGCATTTCTGTGATGACCCCTTATCTGGGGAGGTCTGGTTTCCCTTTTAAAGTGTTCTTTATGTTTTGTTCTACTGGGTATATCCGGCTGCCACCAGGAAATTTTAGGCTTTCCAAACCTTTATACTTTCTTTTGGCTATCACTGGGTAGGTAGGTTGAGGTTTTAGGCTTTCGAGGTACTAATGTGGTGCCTGAGGAAGTATGTCTTTCAGAGCTGGTATGCTTAAATAAGAGTAGATTTATTGAAACAGTTCATAAATAAAAGTGTAGAACAATGTAACCAGTAATGTGAATAATTGTAACAATTTTGTTGTGTCTCGCACAAGATCTGCTCCCTTTCTGACAGGGATTTTTCAAGTAACTTTTTAACTCATTACTCAGGGTCATATACGTTTCCTATTTCTCTCCAGTCTGTCACTCAGACTTTCATTTAACTTTTGTTTCCTTATACATTCAACTTTTCTTCATACACAGAACTTAATCTCTTGTATCGCACACAAGACTGTCTCTCTAACTGTGTTAGCAGAAAAAGGGTTTTCTGCTTCAGAGTTGCTGTTTGAGAGCCTCCCGTGATTGACTCAAAAGTATATGTACTGAAGCAGTCTCATGTAAATCTGCAGGTAAGGATGTTTACACTTTCCCCATGTATTCCAAGGAAAAGAGGCAACGCAAAGGAGGATGAGAGTTCAAGCATCTCAATGGGGTCGCTGAAGTGGTAAAGTGAGAGATTGGTTCAGCGAGATAGTGCTCACTATAGAACATTTAAAAAACCCTTATAGGAAGATCACACGTTGGCAAAAGGGGCAGGGGGGGGGAAGTAACACTGTTTGAAATGACCAAAGCGCTTCTGTGATGACCCCTTATCTGGGGAGGTCTGGTTTCCCTTTAAAAGTGTTCTTTATGTTTTGTTCTACTGGGTATATCCGGCTGCCACCAGGAAATTTTAGGCTTTCCAAACCTTTATACTTTCTTTTGGCTATCACTGGGTAGGTAGGTTGAGGTTTTAGGCTTTCGAGGTACTAATGTGGTGCCTGAGGAAGTATGTCTTTCAGAGCTGGTATGCTTAAATAAGAGTAGATTTATTGAAACAGTTCATAAATAAAAGTGTAGAACAATGTAACCAGTAATGTGAATAATTGTAACAATTTTGTTGTGTCTCGCACAAGATCTGCTCCCTTTCTGACAGGGATTTTTCAAGTAACTTTTTAACTCATTACTCAGGGTCATATACGTTTCCTATTTCTCTCCAGTCTGTCACTCAGACTTTCATTTAACTTTTGTTTCCTTATACATTCAACTTTTCTTCATACACAGAACTTAATCTCTTGTATCGCACACAAGACTGTCTCTCTCCCTCAGACCTCAGAATGAACTTATCCCACACAGGGATGTGTCTCACTCCTCTCATCCACACAAATTAACTGAACTTCTGCTTCTCTCACAGAAATCAGAACTTAACAACTGTCTTTATCAACTGTCAAACCTCCTAACTGTCACTCCTGACAGACATAAATATTCATCCACTCAGAAACACTTCCCAAAACCCCTCCCCCTCTCTGTCAATCACCAATCACACCACACTTGTCTCTTCAAGCACTCTAGACTATCTAACATGCAACCAAACTTTTAAAGAGACACACACACATAAACAAGGAATCGTTACATATCCCAAAATCGCTATGTGAAACCCCCATCCCTGTATTGCTTAACTTGACGATAGGCCAAGAATGAATAACATCCAGTTTAGAATGGTAATGTGAAAAGAGCCCACAATATGCTCCACTCAAAGACATTGCTAAAAGAGTCAGTTGGTCAATAGACTGCTAGATCATCGGAAGGGCACAAATGATTTAAAAGTTGTCCCCATGAAGTCTAGTTGGAGTGAAAGTGGGTGATGTGGGCACTAGGCAGAGCCTGTAAATGGTGACACAAATGGAGTACTAGGAGTGCTGGCCTCTCCGCAGGAAATACTCTAATAGACCAGCTGGTCGCAGCACAGATACCCAGAGAGACACAAGGACCCCTCCAGGAGCTGAGTACACTCAAGAGAGCAGTGCACTGTGGGTGGGGAATCGGGACAAACATTGAGTGTCTCAGCATCTCAGAGGGTCCAAAGTGGAATGGTAATCGCACATCACTAGGGTGCCATGTTCTGCAACATAAACCATAAAATACTAGAGAGCCAGTTCAGTGTAATGGTTAGGAGTGCGGACTGTAATCTGGGAGAACCAGGTTTGATTCCCCACTCCTCCACATGCAGCTGCTGTTGTGACCTTGGGTCAGTTATAAGTTCTTTCAAAGCTGTTCACTCAAGGGCAGTTCTCAAGAGAACCCTCTCAGCCCCACCTACCTCATAGGGTGTCTGTTGTGGGGAGGGGAAGGGAAAGTAATTGTAAGCCACTCTGAGACTCCTTCGAGTAGTGAAGGGCAGGGTATAATCCAATCTCTTCCTTTTCTTGATAGTATTCTTCAAGAATGGGCTGATCAAAGAGCAAGCTGAGGTTTCAGGCCCTTCATGAGACATCCACGAGCAGCAGAAAAAATAACAAAACCTGAACTTTGTAGTTAAGCCCATCCCTTCCCTAACCATGTGTGATAATGAATTTAGTCCTGATTTTTCACATCACTTTTAACAGTATGATGCACAGCTATCCTTGGTGGAGGAAAGTGCCAACAAGTCACTGCTGACTCATGAGGACCCAACAGGGTCTTTAAGGCAAGATACATTCAGAGGTGGTTTGCTATTGCCTGCCTCCATGTCATGACTGGAGTATTCCTTGGAGGTCTCCCATCCAAGTACTAACCCAGGGCTGACCCTGATCAGTTTATAAGCTCTGACAAGATTGGAATAGCCTAGGCCATCATGCTCAGGGCACAGCTATCCTTACAACATAACATAACACAACCACTTTCCTCTTTACGAATTTTCAGCTCAGCATTCCCTACCTATACACAAACTGGTAAACATAACAGTCAAAGAAACACCACTCAACGAGAGACCGACAGAGGAAGGTTCATGTGGAGAGAGAAAATGTACATGAAAGCTGCCATTGCTGCATTCATTGTAGGACATTGTAAAAAAAAATCATCTCTCATTGCATTCATTGTAGGACATTGTAAAAAAAATCATCTCTCATATTGTCTTCTATGGAAATGCTTATAAATAATTTCCCCAAAGGACACAAAAGAACAATTTATGCAATATTCAGTAGTTTCTTGTAGCATCATTCTTTTTTTTAATTCAAACTTTTGTAATGTGAAAAAGACTGTACATCCATCAACTCATTTTTCTCCTCAGCAGTCTAGTGAATGCACCCTTCATCTCCTTGTTCCGTAAACTATAGATGATTGGGTTTAACATGGGTACGAGAATGGTATATGAGAGAGAAAGCAGTTGTTTGATCTCTGGAGTATAGTTTGACCTCGGCCGAAAGTAAGTCAAACTGGATGTGCCATAAAACAGAGTCACTGCCATAATATGTGAAGAACAAGTGGAGAAGGCTTTCTGCTTCCCTTCAGTAGAAGGCATCCTTAAAATTGTGCTTATAATACGAATATAAGAGATAAGGATCAGTGTGAAGGGAGCCAATATTATGATAAAGGTGCCAATGAGAGAAAATAGCTCAAACTTAGAAGTGTCTCCACAGACCAACTCAAGAAGTGGTGGAGTATCACAGAAGAAATGGGGGATTACATTGGTCCTGCAAAATGGAAAACTAAAAAGCCATGAGCTCTGTACTGTCCCAACTGGAAAGCCTGAGGCGCAAGCCGCCAATGCCATCAGCCTACAGATCTTCTTGTTCATTACAGCTGGATACCTCAGAGGCTTGCATATGGCAACAAAGCGGTCATACGCCATTGCAATTAAAAGGAAGCACTCCATAGTCCCAAAGAAGAAGACAAAATATGTCTGCGCTCGGCATCCTAACAAAGAGATGGTCTTTTTCTCTGAGAGGAGGTTCACAAGCATCTTTGGGACAGTAGATGACACAAAGCCAACTTCTGCAAAGGACAGGTTTCTGAGGAAGAAGTACATAGGGCTGTGCAAAGCAGGGTCTGTTTTTGTTAAAATGATGATGAGGGTGTTTCCTGTCAGAGTTGCCAGGTAGACAACAAGAAATACACCAAAGAGGAGAATCTGGAGTTGTCCTAAATTAGAAAAGCCCAAAAGAATAAATTCACTGACTACAGTCTCATTAGATCCAGTCATGATTTATAACTAGGACCAAATATTTAAAATACAGTCTTGGAAATAACACACAAACCAATACTGTGAGTAATTACAGATTATGTTCAGGTACAGAATTCTTTCCTTATAGATTTTTTTCCTGAGTTTGCTGCAGAGAAAATTCTTGGAGTTCTTTACTTTAGCTGTATTGATTGTTTCAGGGAAAATATGTAGAAATCTTTCTTTCCTGCTTGCTACTTTGAAGTATTCCTTTTATTCTTTTTCCCATGTTATCAGGCAAAGACCTCTGGAAAATGAATTAGCTTGTTTTCCAACAACAAATGAATTCTGGATAAATTTGAAAAAGAAAAAAATCACTGTTAGTGACCTTAAAATTAATAAATGTTCAAACTACCTGCTCTATAGGTATCACCCTCATAGTTTTATAGTTATCCTTCCAAAGATACAATGATAACACATCAATTGTTTATCATTCTACTACAGGGCAACTGGCATCTGCTACTGAAACTTGTAAAAAAATGTTATTTTAAATGGTCATCTTTTGACTGCCTCATAAACAAAATCCTTGAAGTGGTTCACAAAAATACAATACAAGAATATAATCAGATTGTTGTATCCCAAATCTATTATAAAATTACCAGATTAAAACTAACTGAGGCTCCTGCCACACGGGGGGGGGGGGGGGAAGGCCCAAGG